GAAGTTGGAGTGGGGAGAGGTTAAAAAAGGGGAAAAAAGAAGAAAGATAGTGAGGGCCAGAAGCACCTTCAAAAAAAACCCCTCAAAAACAAAGAAAGAAACCTCCATCCCCCAATAGCCCCCACCCCAAAAATAAAAACCCCAAAGAAACCAAAGGAAGTCACCTCTGGAATTAAAAAAAAATCCAAACAGATCAGGAAGAGGAATGACTTCACATCTGCTTGCCCTGCACCAGAGGAACTCTACTGTAATGGATAATACCCAGAACACTGGAACAGTTTTCTGGTCAAATAACTCATTTCTTCATCTCTGTTCATAAACTGCATTCCTCTAGTTCTTCACCAACAGTAAAAGCATCTGCTTCACGTAAGTTCTACAGACAAACTGCCAGACTAGTAAGAAATGAAGCAGAGATGTTTATTATGTTATTTTATTGCAAATACAACTGATTTCACTATGGCAATATACTGTCTAAAAGTAGTGTGCCACACTCAGTTTGAACTATGAATGCTATTTTCCTCCTGGGTCAGCTGATGTTAAATCTTGACACATTGTTTAGTGGGAGCAAGATCAATCTATTTCCCCTTAAAGAGCTATTACCTTCTAACAAAATTTCCTCTTACCCATTTAACAGGGCCATTATATCCGTGTGAACATGAATTCATCTGCAACACACAGTCTTTGTGACATACATAATTACTCTGAGCCTAAGCCTGGGCTTACATTCCCTTATAAGTCCCTTGACAACTTAGTCTGTGACCTGAGGCAAATCACTAAATATTTTTTCAGGCATCCTTAAAAGGGGTACAAACAATTTCCTTGTAACAGGTATTTGGAAGCTTTATCAAACATGTAGGCTGCTTTAAAAGACAAAATTATTGCAACAGGCTTGCTCTTGATAGAAAATCTTCTGCTGACTTCACTAGGAATTGGAAGAGACCTTCAAGAAGCCTACTGAAAACTAGACTCGAGTCATCTAATGCAGGATCTAATTGATTGCAATGGATTTGTAGAGGCTTCTGTAACTACAAGTACTGCTTGTGCAAGCACAGCCCAGAATAAGAGCTCAAGTAACAGTGAGAAAAACCAGCCTTATACTCCCATTTTGTTATTGCCATAAGGTAATTACCAACACAGTTCCTATTTGGTCTCTTGGATAAGCAACATGATTCCAGTTTGCCCTCCAAATGCAGTCTGGTCTCTTAAAAGCACGCTTAAGTCAATTCAATTGGGAATGATTGAACATAAACCGAAAAGAGAAGCATTTCCCACCCTAACATGAATTCAAGAAAATGATTCTGGGGCACAGTTAATGAATCTTTGAAAAATCCCAGATAAAGTGACTGACCTGGTAGAAATGATGCTGTCAAGTCTTACACCAACTAGCCTGGCTTTATTTTCTTATGGGGCAAATAAATAGCTTTGCAAGAAAATACTTGCTTAAGGAGAAAATACAGCATTGCTTCTAAGATTCAAAATGCATTTGCAATAAAATATTTGCTTGAGGAGAAAATATAGCATTGCTTCTAAGATTCAAAATGCATTCGTATTTTGAACTCATCTGTCAGCTTCTAGCTCAAGGCACCAGAACTCTATTAATATTTATTTAATAATGTGTTTAATATTTTACAAATGTTACTACAAAGCCACAGACAAGGGTAGAAATATTAGAAGCTAAAATGACACACCAGATTAGTGACAAATACAGCTGAATAAACTAATTCATCAGAGTCAAGAGAGTAATCCTCCATCAGAGGCGTATTCTCTGTGGCTTCTTAGGTTTTACTGACAGAGGATGCTTCAGATACAGTTTCCAATAGTTGGGGATTTTTCTGCACTCATGTAACACAAATAACTAGATATTTGTCCAGATGATGAGATGACAAAAATATCTCCTTGGAGATGACAGTGGGATAAGTCTCCATTTTGTCAGGGTCTAATTCCTGTCCCTGCACGGTGAAAAACCCATCAGTTCAGCTGAAAACAAACCATTTCAGGATTTCAGAAGACATGGTACTGGTTTCTTCTTTATAACAAAAGGAAATCCTAAATAGGTAGACTTGGCTTCTCAGAAACATCTCAGCTGGGAGATTAAATCTTATCTCACATCACTGAAGATGCAGCTGCTAACAAAGCAAATGAAGAACAAGGCTTTGGCTCTGTCCATAGGCACAGAGACAGCAGGCCTGTAATCACATCATACTGCACCTGGTCTACTACTACCACAAGTTTGGCTCACAGTAGATTACACCCTCCGGAACAAAATTAATAATATATGGACACAGGACCATGCTCTACTTAGCATGTTTAAGATAAACAGGTAGCTCAAATGATCTTAGCTCTTGCTGCTGTTTCTATAGTTAAAAGTAACCTTTTCTATTCCTGCAGATGTTTGTTCTTATATGCTTATGCATAAAATTTCCCAATGAAAGAATTGACTTCCAGTGCCTAAATACTGCAAAGAAATTCAAGCCGTGAAAAAATTAAGGAAATTTTACTAGATACTAACTCCATCATGTTAGAGAAAGTGATACACAACATACTACTTCCTGGCTAGCCTTAATACCAGTCCAGTTCGGGCACACAGTGTCTGTTTCTCCACCCCTCTATGATAATGCATAGCACACAGCAGAAGAGTACATAAATCATAGAATCATCAAATCATAGAATGGTTTGGATTGGAAAGGACCTTAAAGCTCATCTCGTTCCAATCCTCTGACATAGGCAGGGATACCTTCCACTACGTCAGGTTGCTCCAAGCCCTATCCAACCTTGCCTTGAACACTGCCACGGATGGAGCATTTACCACTTCTTTGGGCAACCCATTCCAGTGCGTCACCACCCTCACAGTAAAGAACTTCTTCCTTATATTTAACCTGAACTTCCCCTGTTTAAGTTTGAACCCATTACCCCTTATCCTATCACTACAGTCCCTAATGAAGAGCTAGACAAAGCTAGAGACTTCTTGAAAAAGAATGACAATGAAAGATGAAGCACAGTGAGCAATCTGTAGTCATGGAGTGGAGAACACCATTTTAAAATGGAAACATTATTTATTGCACTAACACTGTCATTATAATGTAGGTCTTGTAGAACAATTGCTGTCTTTATTAAGTGATTCACTGTAGGCCTCACAGCTGAAAGCAGCACAAGTAATCTAGAGATGACTGTTCGGTGCTGCAGAGGTGAAAACGTAGTTCAGCAGCAGAGACAAACCATCTGGCCTGAAATCATGTGCTGACTACAATTTTCTATGTAGCCCTAGCTAAAGGAAATGCAAGGCAGCCCCCAAGAGCTGCATCTCTAGGGACAAGTGCTTAGGCTGCACCTGAATGGCATGGCTGCCTACCAAAATATGAGAGCACATTTGAAGCAGCCACCTGTATTTTACCAAGACATAGTGTTTAGCCCCAGGTGTGTGCCAGGAGAAGGTGGCTGACGGAAGGAGCTTGCTACTCAAACTAACATCTGTAGGAATAATACTGTGCTTCCCAGAAGCTCTAACTTTGCATTATATATTTATATTCACGCTGGTATTACCTGGAATATGCTGAGAATTGAGAAGAGCTGGTAATAAACTACTGAAAAACCTGTTCATTATAGCTCCATAATTTGTTTTGATATAGCCAGGAACACAGATCCAAGCCAGGATAAAGTCAGATGAGGCAGCAGACATTATGCTACCTTGCACACTACAATCTGTTACAGACAAAAGTATTTTATGTAGGTCAGGCACTGCTTCCCCAGAGACAGACAAAAAGCCATAAGGAAATCAGAGCAGTGTTGGGCCTAATTCCAGTGATCCAGTCTACTCCAAAGTTTCCGTTACACAGTGTCTCTCTGTTCTTGTCTATCAAAGTACTCTTCCCAGTCAGCTTCTGCAAGGCTAAGTATAGGAGACTGCACAGCATAGACATCATGATGCAAAACTAGGTAAGACTCCTTGTACTCACAAGGAGACAATGGTTTTGTCAGTTGAATAGAGAAAAGAAAAATCAAAGTGACACTAATTTTCAACTAATCCCAATACTGAGCTGCAAAATCAGGTTTCGGGAACAGAAGGCTGCGATCTGGCCCTCCCAGAGAGGAGGACAGTGTTACTAAAAGAAGCAGCCTTGAATTTCTCTCTTCCTGGTTTGCTGCAATAACACTTTATCTCTGACAGGTGGGAGAACAAGAATTTCAGGAAGCCAGAAATATAAATTAGGATTTTTTTGTTATATCTCACAGCTCTGCAGAAAATTCCATATTTTAATTTCATTTTTTTTTTATTCCAGCAACAAAAAAGCACAAAATACAAGCTTCCACTAAGATTTCATAGCAGAGTTCAGGATTTATTTTATAACCACAGATCACAGCACTTTTCATGACCACCTATCAAAGAATTTCTCTTGTATCAAAACCCTGAAAGATTCTCAAACAGAACAGTGCTGTATTTTCAGAATGGTATTTAGCTGTGAAGAGATACAGAAAGAAGTACACAAATCACACACAATACCACATATGGTAAACAGATGAATATATGATGGAAGAAGAAAATACTTATGCACTTTATGAATATCTTAATGCTCCTCCAGAGGAAAGGCAGCACAAATTCCTATATATTACAGTTTGCTCCGTAGCGATTTTCCTAATTTAAATAAAACGAGTAATCTAGAAAGGCTTTTTCCACTAAGCTTGTAAGAAACTACCCTACTTACTGAGTCTGGGGTCACAAGTAAGCAGGGAGGTTCAGGCATCACCTCTACAGAGCTCTAGCACTGCTACTTGAATGAAAGAACAATAACAAATTCTGTACTTCTGCCCTTTTCTCAGATAAGTTCTTCAGCTTTTCCTTTTTTTACAACCCTCCCCCCCAACCAAATATAATTTGTAGCAAAGCTGTGGATCTCCTTTGCATCCTTTGCATGCCATAATTCATACATTTTTTTAACCCTGCAGTAAGAAGCAAGCTGTACTTTAAGTGTAAGCCACCAGTGTTGGTTGGTTATGTTCCTTACCCTGATCCCGAGTTCTACATTCTCTCCTCCGTATACTTCCATGCCTTCATCCAGTAAGCCAATCTCTTGGAAATACTCTCTATCTACTATGAAGCATCCAATCAATGCAGGACTTCTGGAAAAATAAACCAGCAGCAACCAAAATTAGCAGACAGAATATGAACAATTTTATTATTCCCACATAGGTTATATTTATAATCGCTGGGTCAAATGGTGTGTTGAGATTTAGTGTGTTGAGATTTATTCTTAGGGAAGTGTTTCTCAAATAGATTTATTCAGCTTTGTTTCCTACTGTTCTTGATTCTATGGGGAAATAAGCACCATTGAAGGAAAACAGCCTCAAAATTACTGGACATACGTATTCACCACAATAGGTAGGATTTCAGTGCTAGCAATACTAGATGCAGGAGCCTCAACGTTGTATCTGAGGCACCTGCCATTCTAGTCTTTGTTCCTGCTAAGCTTTCAGGTTTCTTGTCTGTGATAATTAACAAGGAATGTTAATGCACAGAAGCCAGGTTAATCTACAGCTAAGAAAACTTGTGTCTGTACGTTTATGTAAAAGAAGAGATAATTTCTTGACTAGGAACATCCAGACAAGGTTTTGTAATACAGAATTAATAAATGTCTGCCCTTACAATCACAATGCAATATTAGTCCATTGTCCTTAACCAAATTTAAACAAGTCACATATCTTTACCAAATCATTAAGCTCTATTTATGTTACGACCTGAATTAACAAGCTTTTACTATGCAGAGTGAATCTTAAGATGATAAGAGTCCAGGCACAGAGACTACAATTTTACTGTTATGAGATGCAGGGGAGGAGAACAGAGTCATTTAGCCTTTGCATTTTTCTCCTACCTTATAATCCACAATGGCAAAGATTAAAAAACGTATTTCCTGATTATTATGCTGGTATCAGGAACTCTAATAACAACAGGATATTAATTAGCAATGCAGTGAAAATCATCCTGCCTTTACTAGGAACATTCAAGCTACAATTATAGGATGTCTTAATCACAAATTGTACAATTCTAGTGAAATCTATACATTTATGTGTCCTGGGTTCAGATGTAGCAGTTATTTTAATCCTTCCTAGTAGCTGGTGCAGTGCTGTGTTTTTTACTTTAGTCTGAGAGCAGTGCTGATAACACACTGATGTTTATAGTTGTTGCTAAGTAATGCTTACTCTGATCAAGGACTTTTCCAACATTGTGCCATTAATTTGAAGTGCCCACTTTATAGCAATGAAAGACTATTTCTGATGTATTTATTAATGAAGAAAATAGCAGTTAATGTAATTTCAAAAATTATGCTTCTTTTATGACAAAGTCCTGTTGCTTTTGGTGGGAGTTTTTTGAAAGTATTTTTCAGAGTACCTGCCTCCCTGTGTTACAATTCTGGAAGCATTCTGGAGGTATGATAAAAGCCAACAATTGATCCATGTAGCTTTTTCGGGTTTTTTAATTATCCAGCACACACATATGCAGTGTGTTGCACTGAATAAAAGGCACCAGGGAAAGGGGTAGGGAACCAACCTACCCCTTTCCAGTATTCATAAAGGACATTCATTCCACAGTTCTCACATAGAGCAGAGTTTTGGGGTAAAATGGAAAAGTAGATACGCTCTTTATTCTGAGTTTAAATACGTAAGAGTTTAAAAAGTCACCATAATTAATATAGAAGGTTTGCCTCTCCAGGACTTAGTAGAATATTTGAAGCATTTTCCTAATGTTGACAGAGTTCATTAACACCGATAACCATTTCTAATGATGTGGAAATTACCACCACTTTTTAACATATGTCCATGGCAAACCCGTGAATTTTTATCTCTTACTTCCCAATTCTATGTCCTGTTTTGACAACCAGCACATGGGTCAGTGGAGTAGAGAGTGTTTAAACTGACAGCTCCCAAAGAGCTATCTGCTTGAAAAGACAGAACTACTGGATGAAAGATACCCCTTACACTGACTGCATGGAAACTGACTGGTAGTGGTGACCCCCTTATGCTGTCACTGCTGTTTAAGGTTCTGCTTTGCACCTGGTGAAAGCAGTCTTCACACTCGCTTTCTGCAGGGAGTTAGAGTATAGGTACCGGTGACCTCTTTGGTATGAATGCATAGGTAGAAGAAAGGCCTGGAATCTCAGCAGAGCTGTTGAGGGGATTCAGAGGCACTTACTCTCCTCCCCGAGATAAGGGTATTGTTCTGTACCAGCCTAACAGTACTCCAAATGATAAGAAATTACGGAGCTAGATTGTATCAAAGCAAGGATCTAATACAGTCTTTGCTCACACACTATCAGCGGACCAGTATTAACTCCTAGGACATAACACAGCTATAAAACTGTGTGACAGTATTATAAAGAATACAACTGTCAGATCAGTTTTGTTTATACAATGCATTGTAAGGAAAATTCTGTTTCTGGCCCATTACCACTAAATTAGCAGACAAGACATTTGGAGAAAGCAGTGCTGCTAAGCACTCAAATCTACTGTTTCACTTAGGCTATGTGTTTTGCCCCATGCAAATAACAAGGAAACATATTTAAAAAGGTCTACTGCAAACAGAAGTTTTCTGAATGACTGTGAAGGGGTCAAGGACAAAAGCTGAAGAGGACAGCTCAAGGACATTTAACTAATTCAATGTTACAGCCAGTAAAACCTATTACATAGCTGAGACCACTCTCCATCTGTCCTATCTAGATGAGCATTGGCAGTGACACACTAATCTAGGTCACAGTTGCACATTACCTTATTGGAGCAGTTGTGTTTTCCAGTTTCCACCATGACTTAGGAGGGTTCAGGTATCGGCACCACAGCTCCCAGTCAAACCCCTGTGCTGAGAGGGGATACTCCTCTATTTCAAAATTATCATACTTAATGTTATCAAACGATGGAGAAATTACTCTTTTTCTGTTTTCTTTTATCCTGGTGAGCACTGGTTCAGCCCTAAAAAAAAGAGAAAAAGAATGTTAAGATTACATAATTAGAAGCGTAGCACTGATTGTCATCACAGAATAGTTTGGGCTGGAAGGGACCTTTAAAGGTCATCTAGTCCAACCCCCCAAAGAAATAGCAGCTGTGTATTTCAGAAGGAGCAAAGTCTACAGCTGTTACCCGTTCAGAGCTCTCTCTGCTTTAAGACTGAGGTTGAACAGTGCAGCATCTGCCCAAAAATAACATACTGCAATATTTTATCTAGGATGCCCTATTATTAACCTTGATGTTAGCTGGTGAATGGAAGAAATTATTATCTGCATATCATAGAGCATTTACACCCTTGCTACCAAATGATGATAACTTCAGGCTCTCAATATTACCAAGGACATAAAGATCAGAGTTAATAATAGATCTATCCTAGGGACAGAAGCTCCTGCCTTTTTACCATCTTTTTTACTCAAGGAGCAACAGAGATATTAAATCCAGACTGGACAAGTTAAAACGTTTCAGTTATGTGTTAACTTTCGCACAGAGCAGCAACCTTGGTGCCAGAATGACACTTCTTTATTTATACTGTGGAACATAAAAGAAACATAACATTTTTAATTAAAAGAAGATTAATTTGCCCCCATGGGCAAAGGGCTGCATTATAGGAGGAGGTTTTTAACATGGAGTTTTCCAATATATTTTACATCCATTGTAATCAGACCAGCAGATAACTCACACTATAAAAATGGATCTAGATTATGTTGTGCAGCCCAAATACATTTTTCATGCTTGTGTCTGAATCTCCATGATTGTGTCTGAATCTTCATTAAAATGAACAGAATGCTAACTCACCCTCCATATGCAAGAGAAATGCCAGTCAGTAATCTATGAACAGTGCTTGGAAAAGTGGTCAGAGAAGTTCAAGGAGAGACATACCATCCCACATTGAATTCCACATGGGCATCAAAGAGAGCAACTACTGGTGCTGTGGCTACCCTCCATCCACTAACTCGAGATCGAATCAGCCCTTCTTGTTTGCTGTGTCGAACAACCTTGATGAAACCAGGCTTACGGGCATTCACTTCATCGACATACTTCTTTAGTTTCTCCTTGAGTTCTTCTGTGGAAAGGAAAGAATTAGATGTTACCAAGCAGCATCAGCAAGACAAGATGTAAAAACACGTTCCTTCAGCAAAACAGAACTCTTCACACATGGCATTACTCCCTTTTGATTTAACTACTAAGAATTCTGAAATAGTCAAGTCTAAAAGGAAGCAAACAAAAAGTAGAAGGACCATAAATTATATAGTAATAAAAAATTCCAGGTGTAACTACTTAGCCTACATGATCGATATCAGAATCCTGCTTCTGTTTAACATTAACATACCACAAAATAAAGCACTCAATCATAAAGTACAACAGCTTCTTAAGTGCATATTATGTTATTGTAGCAACAAGATTACCAGCATATATTTCCAAAAAAATATGCTCAACTATTGACCGTGAACTTTCTTTGCCAATATTTCAAGAAAAAAGTATGAATAAAATTATTTATCCTTTTTCCATTTTTCTTTCTAAATTTTACAACTCTTTTTCATGTCCACTAAAAAGTTCCATGAATTCTGCTCTTTGCACAGCAGAACAAAGACCAGTAAAGTACTGGAGGAGAATCATTCCTTATTAAAGTCTGACAACTTTTAAATCAACAGCTATCATCATATCTCTGGTTTAAAGACCATTGATGAGAAAATCCAATCTGGAGAGCTGAAATAGTCTGTTCACTAACATTATTAACTGAAAACACTGTTCACCACTATTCCTTATTAGCATTGCTATATTATATGTTATGGTACCACTTAGAATTCCCTTGGTGCTATTAAGTTGCCTTTCTTCCAAATCTCTCCACAAATCCAGAAATTTCTTTGCTGTGATGCAGAGTAATGCTTCTGTGGTTATAATGCTAAACTGGATATCATCAAATCTGCATTAAAAGCTCAGTGCTGCCTAGCGCTTTCCATGAAATCTTCAGCTTCTCCATAATCAATTCCCCATCTGTGAAATGGGATCACCACACTTACTTTTTCTTTTCAGTCTATTTAGACCTTAAACTCTAGAGAACACCAGATTTCTTTTTTCTCTGCATTTTGACAGTACCTAGTGCCTGGGGGCACTGAGCTGAGGGGGAGCTGCATCATACAAGGGATGGCACTGGAGCCCAGCAGAGGAAAGAGCAGCACCCAGCAGTTAGCAGTGTGGGAGGGGGTACAACCCCTGTCACACTGCCTGGCCCAGATTGCTTCTCAATAAAACACAAACAGGGTTTTTCTTCTAAACCTAATCAATGAGACCTTCTCTACTATTGTTTTGCTGGCATTAGCAGTGCAATCTGTTCCTAGCTGCGTGCCAGGGGTGTATTTCTGCATTGAACCTATGATAAGACAACCCCTCTGGGAACTGGGCAACTCAAACAGATCAGGGCAACACGCACACTGGAATGGTTAATGCAACAAGGAATTAAAAGCAAGCACGCTTTATTAGCCACATGAAACGTTCATCCTTGGAAAAGAGGCGGTATGTTCACTCTTAGGCTGACAAAGAGGAACAGAGCTGTTGGTCTTCTAATCTAAAGACCCAAATGAGTTAGAATCCATTTGACCTTAGTGGACCTACTTCCTTGAGGATATGGAGGAAAGGATAAGATGGTCAAGTACACAGACTCCTTAAATTCACCCCTCTATAAGGACCACCAGGCATGATGCTCTTGCTTGTTCCAAGATGTTCAAGCCGGTTCCACTGGCACTGCAGGACTGTGCATGCATGCCACATACCTTTGAGTAAATGAACTCTCTGCACAGAAGGAAGAGAATACCAAAGTACTGATACTTACAGTTTTTCATAAAGAACAAGAATTTAAAAGAAATAATCTGATTACCATGTCCATCACAGTACTTAAACTGCAGCTATACTTTAGGAATGGAGTCAATATATTCCTAGAATTTTCTACAATATCTTATTCAAATATCTGTGAGTGCATTGCCTTGAATAAACAACACAAGGCACTGACACATATTAGAGAGCACTATTCTACTTTGTATTAGATTTGCTGCATATTGATTGATAGACTTTTTGTTTCTTCTATAATGTAAAATTCATACTCAGGTTTTCTATGATGCTTGTGCAAAGCCCATGTTCTTATTGTTCATCCCCTAACACAGAGATTTGTAGCAAGCACAAAACTATCAAACCAACCACTAGCTAACAGCACTATAAATTCAAAAGAATTTATGTTACTGAAATTGTGCCCACCCTAAAAATAGTGCAAAACAGCTCTCTATTCCCAAAATCGAATACTGTGGAGGGTGACTATCAAAATAAGAAGATCAAAGCTTTGTTCTCGGTTAAGTGGCTGTTCATTAGCTTTGCAATAGCAGGAAGCTTTATTTGCCACAACAATGCAGCATCACCACTGAGTACAAAATACATAAAAGGAAAGCAGGCTCTAATCAAGGACTTGAAAATCAGTACCCTTGATAGAGTCATTGTTGCCTCAATCATCTTCATTTTTAGCAAGCAGGCTATTCTTACTCCTGTCATAAAATTTGCCTAATATGGACTGACTTTATAAGCTCGAATAAACACAAAATCTTTTTCACAGCTAGGTGGAAATAGGTGGAAATGGAATGGAACCCAAATCTTGGCTTGCCATCAGCATGACTTCAGCTGCACATTATAGCTGTGACATTTACTAGGCAGTAAACACTTCTAATTTTCTGGTTATGCTGCAGCTTTTTGCAAATGATGGAAATGGCCTGACAGTCTCAAGGGAACCTTGGAGGCTTACCCACAGTCAGTCAGTATGGAGGAATCCATCCCTGGGCTTCAGTATCAGGCTCAGGAGGCAGAGGAATGTGCTGCATTTTACCTAATCTTCAATACTGGCCCACAAGCAATGACTTACTCTGTCACATGTCCACAAGAGACAACTAAGTATTTTGCAGTCAGGCATTGTCTAGCCTTTGTTATTTAAAACACATTAGCCTTGTTTTGCAAAGGCAGAGTGCTGAGCAGAGTATTCTGCACACCCTTTGTCTTACAAAACCTATTGGGCAGACTCTCCCAGAAGAAAAGATAAGTCTACTAAAAAAAGATATCATTTTCACTCAGACGCAGGATACAGCAGACATATAAATAAAGCTAAAAAAGTCACTATTTTTGGAAGAACATTAAAGATGCCCTAAGCAAGACACTTAAGTTAGGTTTTTTTCACGTATTCCACATTTTCCTGAGTTTTACATGAGAAATCTGAGTTCAATTGTCTTTGACAGTTTTAGAGCATCCTGCCCAGCTGGACTGAATAATGGGACTCTCCCCCTAGAACTGATCATACACTTTGTGACGGCACCGATGGTCTTCAGCAATGTATTTTTAACCCATGCTCTGTTTTTTCCCACTTCAGATATGTTGCCTGAATAATAAACAGTCTTTTTCATTAATTATTGTGCTTCACTGCTTTATGCCACCATAGGGAGAAGAAAGGGAATGAGCAAATGTGTCATCTTCAATACACTGTTGATTCGGTTTCTAATTATGGAAACAAACAGGCTTATAAAGATAGATGTGTTTGCCTTTCAGCACAGAAGCTCTCAAAAAGGGACTCAATTTGACTGAGCTGAGTGAGCATCTGCAATTGGAGAGAAAGAGCAGCCATATAGGGAACAGGAACATGGTGGTCTGGTGCTTGTCTGTGTTGCACTCCACCACCTGTCTGTATACGGTACGGATGTCTGGAGAGCACAACACAACTCTCCTCAGAAATGTAGAAAGCATAATTAATGTGCCATAATTATATTTAATACGAACATAATTAAGTTCTAATACTTCTAAGAGATTGTTTGTTTGTAACAACCCTACAAATATTTTGTTTGTCAAATTTTCCTATTCATCTTGACAAAGCAGTCCTAAATAATTCATGCAACTTTGTGGTCTTAGGAAGTGGCAGAAGCAGGGCAGGATGGAAGGAGGAAGCATAAGGATTCAGAAGATATCAGCCGTCCCACAGCTACAGAGATCATATGTGAAGGGATCATTCAGTTCATAAGAATCCCTTCACAAGCCATCTCCCTTTCAGGATGTGGTCTGAGAGAATGGCAACTTGGCATTGGCCCTGGCAATGTAACTGTTCTCCTTGCAATACTGCAGCTTGCTCGGCTTGTGTGAGTGGCCAGCTCTGGCTCAGAGGGGCAATCTGGACCACAGTACTGCCTCCTCTTTGAAGGGGTTGCAGCAAGCCAGATAATAAGCAAAAGATTTCTCATATATGCCCCAGGAGTTTCTCAGAGGGAAAACCACCTACACAACATGCTCTTCATCCCGTCACATGCAAGTGTATGCTCTTCATCCCATCATACACTTTGTATGCCTCTACCCTCCCTAAACTGGGAAGTTATCAGGCTATATGCTCAATGATAAAAGGTGCCTTAGCCCCTTACTCCAGTGTCCTACAGCAGCTGTGGATCTGCCCCCAGACTTCAATTTTTAAAGTTATTGATACAAACAGTGTTGTCATAAGTAATAAATTACTGCCTCATGTTCATAGAGAAGTAGCTTAAAGAACCATCAATTAAACCTCGCTTTCAATGACTTTCATGTTTTAATGTACTCCCATTCTGTGTGCTTAAATGAGTCCTCACATCTCTCAGAACAATTACACTTGTGAAGTCCGACACTCATGCTTTGCTGAGACAGATGCATTTTACTGACTTTTAAAAACTCTTCTTCTTAGCTGTAAGTTTTCCAGTGGAGCTGAAGTGAAAAATAACTAACTATACTCATAACTTTATGCATTTTCTAAAGTCTAAAAATTCCTCCTGACTCTGGTGCAGCAGAATGCACACTGATGTTACTGCCACCTCTGCAAGCCTTGTGCTTTTACCTTTAGGGAAAAATCTATTTCCATGTCAAAGGCTCAGGAATTACCATGTCCCTCTTTAACCTCAGCACTTGGCACAAATATGGCTTTTTTTACCGTGAAAGGAAAAATTATTCTTCAATACAGAATGGGGTTTAATGTAACAATTGTCCTCCCTGTGCCAAAAATTGTGGATTGACACATTATATGAA